AGTCTGTAATTTCCTCCTCTTCCCTCTGCTGGCATACTTTTATGCTGCATTAATGAAATAAATCACTTCATGGGAGTGTTAAGTGAGTGACAGAGCTGAGCTGGGGAAAGGAGTTGGCTGTGTTGAGCTGGTACTTCATTTTGTGTTATTTCCACCTTAGGAAACTGCTGGGTTTTTTAATTGTGTCTTGTATTTTCAGTATTGAGAAAGTGTGTCTAGTGGAGCTTCCCAAATCAACGAAACACTGTGGTGCCGGCTGTGTACACCAAGAATCATCTGCTAATTTCTTGGAGCAAGTAGTAAGGGAAGTGGCACATGGAATATTGAAAATGGTAGATAAGATGTGAATTACAGCAAATCTGAAATTTGAAATGTGAAACCTATGCCAGTCTTAAACTGAATGGAATTCTGAGTTGGACATTAGATAGCAGAAACATGCCAGGAGATGTAGTTCCTGGTAAGTTTGTACATGAACACAAAAAAACAGAGGGTGTTTTAATTTTAAAAAAAAAGTCATGTCTTTGGCTGTTGCATTCAACTGTTCTACTAGAACATGCTTTTTATGCTTATTCCTGAGCTTTCCGAGCAGATAATACACTCCAGCCTCTCATGTGAGGAAAGGAGCTGGCTCTGACAGTTCTGACAGGAAGCAACAAAGCAGACTTGCTCTAGTATGGTGAGGGCTTTTGCTGCTAGGCCACGAAAGGTCAAAAATGAATATAAAGATGATGCTTCTAGTAGAGTGATACTGCTGACATATCATCAAAGTTGGGGGGCCTGAAAAACACCCCTGATGGTTTGCAAGCCAAAGATTAGTGGTAGGTTTTTTTCCAAAACATAGATTTATTGGCTCTTACTGACCTTGGGAGTCTTTTCTGTCCATTCTGGATAAATGTGCTGCTGCTTCTTCTTCATCTGCCTGCCTCAAAGACTCCACACAAGTTATTGTAATAGTCACTTGTTCCAGCCTTGACTAATGAAGGGTGGGCCACATGTGCTTGCTACTTGCTCAGCATCAACATAATACTGATTTCACTGGGTGATTCCTTTGTGGCTTCTTGAGGCGGTTCCAGTGTAAAAAGGTTCTTTTTGGGAGAGAGCATTTCAACATTTGAACTGCTGGAAGATTAGAAATGCAGAGATTGCCATCTTCCCCTTTGGAATGTTGTGTCAGCACCAAGTAAGTTGTGGGGATAAGGAAAGTGAGTGTGTGCAAAGTAGGCAAGGATGGGAGCTAAGGATTGGATAATAATGTGGGAAAGATTGGTGAAAATGAGTCTGAAAAATCTGAATCTGCAGAAGATTGGTTTGTTTGTTTCTGTAAATACCAACTTTACAGCTGTGAGCAATGAATTTATCAAAACGAAGCTACCTTTCCATAGCAGTTTCCTCTATCATATCTTCAGTATTGGTGCTAGACAGAGGAGCATTTTTCTAGATCCTGTACTGGGCACAGGGATGGTTCTGCTGAGACTGCAGTTAGATTTTAATTGCATCATTAAAGCAACTTGCTGTAGTGGAGGATAATATTGTTCACCCTTTCACTGAAAAGTACTGAGTCTCTTAAAGTCTTGTGTGTTACTGAACTACCAGAGTGAATGCCATGTGCTTTCAGTAATAGTAGGAGTCCTTAGTGGGTTAAGATGATGGTTTCTGTAGCTTTTACCTCCAGGAAGAGGAAGAAAATGCATTAGGATTGCTAAATGGTTAATATCAGTGCTTGCTAATGGTATTGGCCTTTGATCAAGTGTTGTGCGAAAGCTCTCACTGGTGGGCTAGGGCATACCTTAACTGTGACTCTGCCTTTACATGCTGTGAAATTCCCAAATAAAGAGTGCTTTCTCAATTTTGTTAAGAATGGAGAAGGCTCAGCACTACTAAGACCTGTATTCAGATGCATTTCACTTAGAGGCAGCAGTGTTTCTCTAGTTGACTGGTTTATGTCATGATCTGTGTACTGGATTTCTGTGATAATTTCTTCTCTTGAGAAGTTAATGAGCATTATTTGGAGAAAAAAGTCATTCTCCCTGGATTGCTCTTTGTTTTTCAACCCATGCTTTCTGGGACAGATTTTGCTGTTGATTTCATTTGTTAACTTATAACAATCTAATCTAGTCCAATTCTCTCATCCAAACATGTGTCTCTTTTCGCTGTTTTTATACTGAGAAAAGCAGAGTAGTCTCCTAAAATTAATCAAAAGTATTGATAATACAAGCTTTACCGATAACTGAGGCCATATTTGGCTATTCACTCACTTTCTCTGATCTATACTTCCCCTTGGAAGAAGCAAGTGAAAATTCACGTTGACCTAAAGCACAATGATATTCTGTTGGCAATGCTTACTAGGAAAAACATTGCGTAAGTTGAAGTATGGAGGTTTAGTGAAGTGTTGGTGACTTGAGCTGGCTGTATTATATGGCATTACAGGATCGTTTGTTGTTTTGAAGACGTCCAGTAGGAGAGAGTTTGCAAACCAAAAAAGATCTTACGGTCAAGATAAATGAGAAAATCACACCAGATGGTTTGATTTTTCCACTAAAGACAGGAAAGCGTAGATGTTTTGTGTTGGAATAGTGTGTGGGATTACATATATATGGAATGTAGCCATGAGTGATGTTGCAGGAATTGTCCTCAAGTCAGTTTAGAAAAAAAAAAAAAAAACAAAGAAACAAAAGCAAGCAAACAAAACTCAAACCAATTAACCAAAAATATCCCAAACAAACTAATTGAAAACCAAACTACTTTAGTTACACCAAGTATCAAATGCTTTCATTACAGGGAAGGGAAGAAGAAAAATCTTTACGCAACTTCAGGAATAAGAATGAAGGACACTGGTAGATAAGAGATAAAGTACAGACTTCTGTCAAATATATTCAAAAGGAAACTAAATACTCAGGTTTTAGAGAGAAATGTTAAGTAAATTATTCAACACCACTACATAAGTACTGTATAAAAAAGGTTAGCTGACTTAAGAAAATTGCTGATGTGCAGTTGTCTTTAATTCTGAGCAGCATTCTTGAGCCTCTGAGTATCTTCCAAAGAAGTAAATACCGTATGCATTGTAGCTAATGAATGAATGAAGATATGGCTAAGATGTATTACTTTGGAGAGAGAGCAGATGTTTCTGTTCCTTCAGTGATCTGAAACTTGGTATGTGTGCAGTAATCCTTTGTGTTAACTGGCAGGAACTAATTACATGTGCAGTTTTTACTATTTATAAAGCTGTCAGCCCAGGCATTGTGGTAGAAGCTTTAATGTCCTTAAAATGTCTTTTGTTCTGCATTTCTGCAGCTATAAAATTTACAATGCACAATTATGACTATCTTATGTTTTGAGGAGATGCTTCAGAATTGGGGCAAGAGCCTTCTTACATTCTGAATGCAGACATTGTCGTTCATCTTGTAATGATTAAAACTAATTTTATTGTGTTAAATTCTACTGAATCGTCTTGACTTAATGTGTAGTAGGAGAAGCAACTTCTCAAAAGTGCAACTTCAGTATGTTATTCGCTAGCATTGTGGGGGAATGTGCAGACTCCATTAGTGTTACATTACAGAAAATTGTCAGATGAAGGCATAAATGATTGACAGAGACACCCTCACAAGGGGTCTCACCACCTGGATCAGATTACTGTCAAATTGATGAACGTGCAGAAACGAAGTCATCCTTGGTAGGCTTCAAAATAAACATATAATCTTAAAGTATAACATTTAGCTAGGTTGAGCTAGTTATTGCCCTGAGGAAAGTTAATGAGATGTCATTAACGTCCTTCAATGGCAATACTAAGTTTTAATCCAACAGCAGAGTTCCTTATCAGCAGTCCATATATAGCTTAGTTTCCTGATTCATTCTCTTTTTGTTGCAACATTCAGTCCGTCCACTCATAGTTTTTGTGTGTGTCTCTTCTGCGCCACAGGTGTTGGATTGGATTGAAAACCATGGAGAAGCTTTTCTTAGCAAACATACTGGAGTGGGAAAATCCCTGCATCGAGCTCGAGCTTTGCAGAAACGTCATGAAGACTTTGAAGAGGTTGCACAGGTAAAAAAAAATCCCATGAAGGACTGTACACTTGCATGGAAATACGAAAAACTCCTGTTATGGCACTGAAGGGCTGGGCAGAGGGAGCTCCACTATAAAAAATTCAAATTTTTGAAATTTGAATTTCAAAAATTCAAATAATATATTCCAAGAATGGACTATTTCGTTTCTGTTGCAAGGTTTTATTTCATTTCTCCTTTGCATTCCAGCTTCACTAAGAAAAAGACAAACTGTCATAGTCCTACAGAGAGTGAGAGGCTTATTATTATTTAAATATTATTTATTCTTATGGTTTTCAACAATGTGCTATCAATTGTTGAGTCACAGAAGAATGGCATCTTTCCATTTAAAGTAACTTAATTCCATGGGATTCTAGAATTTAAACTTTTGTGCAGCCTGTAAGAGTGGGTAGAGATGAACTGAAAGCTCTGCTTCCTGATTTTAAGCTTGAGGAAGTCCCAGATCCCCACAACAGACTGATGCGGGGAGACAATAGACAATATCTTTCTCCTAAGAAACCAGGTGAGCCAGCAAACTGGCCAGCCTGGCTTTTGGGGTTTTTCCTTAAATACGATTGAGTTTGCATATACCCTCCTGTTCTGAATCACTGATACCAATGCTTTTTCCATAGGAATACTCTAGTTTTGGCATTAAGTGGAGCTGATGATAGAACTTCAAAACACACTATTCTGTGAAAAAGGGTCAGACCAAAAGACACAAAGACCTAGAGACACAAAGAATACAGGGAAAATACAGAATACAGAGGATGCTGGTTTGGGTGGCAGCCTCGAAAAGGGAGCATGATGTGAATAAAACCCATGAGAAGCTGAAGGCTAGAATCCTCCCTGTTAGTAGCATGCAATGTCTTTCCAGTCTTAATGATTGGTAGGAGCAAACGTCTCTTAAGATTCGTCAAGAAAAAAAATCTCATTAAGGTCGGGTTGATACAGTGGTCCTTCAGTGAAAACAGAAGACATGTTGTTAGAAAATTGTGCACTGTTATGCAGGAGCTCAGCAGTGACACCTACTATAGAGGATGCATCAGAAGTGTGGTTGTAGATTGTCTAATTGATGATTAAGCTGTTAATAAAATTTTCTTGTAAATACAATCTTGGAGCACTCCAGTGACTGAGAACTTGAAATAGTATCAGAAAGGTTCCTCAGTATTGCCTTCCTTATAAAATTTTCGAGAAGAATAAGTGTTGTTAGTTTTGTATATACAAATGCTGTATTTACCCTACGCATGGATGATAATTTTTAGTAAAATCCGTAATATTTTCCATGTGGAAGTACTTATTTTTCTGAGTCAGACAAGCAAGAATCTATTTCTGTAAGACATTTAACAAACCCTGAATATTCTCATACCTAATACTGTGTTAGCTGAGCAAAGAAGAAAAAAATATCTCAGCAACCAAAGGAGATGAAGAGTGTAGAACTGTTAGAGGGATGTGAACTGCTAAAAAAAGCAGCTTGTTAATTTATGTTATACTTTAGAAAGTCGTAAAGCAAATACTTAGCAAAGACTTCCTAAAACTGAATGTTACCACAGTTTAAAATGATCTCTTTAGAGGATGGGTGGAGATTCTATTTTTGGAGATACTGAAAACTTAGAGTGGTCAAAAAGCTTAAATATACTACAGGGGACTATCTTCCACTGACAGAAGGATGGACAAAATGATCTAATAAGTTGGGCTTTTTCATCTCTAACTCTTGAATTTGTGGTGACTGCCAGGAGAGGCACACCCTCTGAGTTGTTCCTCTTACTTGCTCTAAAACTGAATGTAAGCAGGCCCCAAAAGGCATTCCTTGTTGGTGTCGTTATAAGGAAGATTATGTTCAAGTATAAGACAGCAATCTGCAGTCCTTGTTAAAGCATGAATAACTTTCAGCTGATCTATTCTCTGCCTACATTTCTGGTTGGTCCAGGTCTTCACTGTGTTTTGGTTTTGGGGTGGGTTTTTTTTTGCTGTTGGGGTTTTTTGTGTTTTGTTTTGTAGCTTTGTTTTTTTTCTTAGGCATAGTCTGAGCTTTTCAGTCAGGTCTAGTCCAAAGTTGAATAACTGTCAACTGTCAGTGGCATGGCAATGTTTTATCAAATGCAGGGAGTCAACAGTAATGTTCAAATGTTACTGACAGAAGGCTAACTCCTGATTTTGAGAGGAGTGAGAATTATGATTTCTGTTTCCTTCCTTTCTGCTTCCTCCCTCATTCTTTTTTAATGTGAATGAGGTGCCAATTCCTCAGCAGTGTTCAAAGAGATGTTAAAATAAGCTGTGCGTCAAATAGAAAAGATGTTCCAGAGTCAATGGGCTGTGGGCTCACAAATTACTCACTTTAAAATTTGTGTGAAATGAAGGCTTGTTTCTCTTTATTTGTCACACTGTTACCACTCCAGAAACACTAGATAGTCAAAACTTTGCCAGCTAATAATCCTCCCTAAATTCTGATGTACTGACATTTGTGCTACACATACACTTTGATTTATACCCACTATTGTAAAATGGTGTTCCTCTTCTCTTGTGATGCCTGTCCAGTTCACCTTCTACTTACCCTTTTTTTTTTTTTCCCCTCTCTTTGTGTTCATGAGACCATTTAGTTCAAGTGTCAAGAGTCCAAATTTTTATATGACTGGTTGACTTAGAGGCACAGTCTTTTAGCTTAGAAGCACTGGATGCAGGTCAATGGTATGACTGTACTTCCCCATGCATTTGTGTATGAAATTCTAAGTCAGCTTCTCCTGTTACAACTATGACTGATGACTGCTTTTTGACAGTAGTCTGTGCTCTAAAAACATTTTTAAAAAGATGTATGGTGAGAATTAATTAGCGGGATTTTTTCCTACAGGTAATTTCTTTTCTCCATGGTGTAGACTGCATCTGAGTGAAAAATTTTACCCATGAATGGCCATAACAGATCAAACTAAAAGTCACTGTCTTACAGTATCTTGTGGCTATCAGCAGATGCAGAAAGAAAAGAGACTGTATGCTTAAAAAGTTACCTTTACCCTCCCAGCTGTCTGGGCCTATTTGATGTCTGGAACTGAAGGATCCATCAGAATCAGTGTTTTACTAGTCACATTATGGACTTTCCTTCTCTTAATTAGGCCAGCTACTTTTTTAACTTCTTTATGCTCTTGGAATGTATGCCAGATCCTGTGGCAATGAGTTATGCAATTTAATTGCTCCTTAGATGAAAAGTACTTTTGCTTTTTCATTTTAAGTGTGTTGTTTGATGCTTAAATGTGATAGCATCCACTGTATTTGAGTAATCTATCTTAATTTTCTCTGCCTTTAATGATTTGTGTACCTCTGTTAATCTCCCTCCGTCCATGTGCTTCTCTCTCTTCCCTCTCCGTAGTGCAGTAAACTCCAGTTTGTATGAAATTCAGTCTGTACCTCCACTCACTTCTGTTTCTGTATTTATAGAGTAGCAGTCATTTCTGCACTGTCTCTCCCAAATTTAACCTTTGACTTTTCTATGATGTGTCACTTCTTATTCTTTCTAAAGATATCGTGTTTGTTTTTTTCTGAAGATATGTAGAGAAGGTTTCTCACTAGGAAGGCTAGGAAAGTGATGGGATACTTTGCTGGGGAAGGTGGTGAACTCTCCATTATGGAAAGTCTTTCAGCATTATGGAAAAGAATACCTGTTAAAGACTTGAGTACAGTTGATGGCTCATTGGGGCACAGAGGGATAGACTAGAGGACTTCTTGAAGCTCTTACCAAGCTGATTCCTTTCACCTGGGATTTGGGGAGTATGTGCTCACAGAGGTACTCTGTGGAAGTATTCATCTGTTTGAAAACTGTATTGAATTTGTCACTGTGAAGGCTCCTTTGTCAGTTTAGGAAACTGGCAGAAGCAGCTTCGAGGGAGAACACCTTTCTCCCTAACCACCTGTTTTATAACTGTTGGCTACCCTTTTGGACCAATATTTTCAAAACCTTCACATTACTAGTTGTTTCCTCCAAGCATTGTTTAGAAGTAAGCAGAGAGCTGGGAAAGGCAGTAGTTAGCACAGTGAGCCTATTTGCTGTGATTTCTGTTCCAAAGGGCAGTTATTATCTACCAAGATAAGGATTTCTATTATGTTTCAGCTCTACTTGGGGGAGAAATTTTAGCAATATAGCATGTGTCTACTGTTGAAGTTTGAGAATTGCAACCCCTTTTGAAGCAGCATCTAGGTTGTGATCGTTTCTAAGTACAGGCAGTTCACCATCCAGCTTACAGAAGGAGAAGTCTGATGTGCCTGGGCCTGCATTCCACAGGAGATACTCCTGGAATTCATAAACAATGCTTCACATGTGAGATAAAGTTTTCATTAAAATGGGAAACTTCTCTTTCAGACATCTGCAGCTGGGTGTGGCTCTCTGGGTTGATGAAGTTGTTGTTTGAGCAGCGCCTTAAGGCTCTTCAGCCTTGCCTCTTGAACACATGTGAGCTGAAACTGTGGAAGTCAAAACACCAAAGCCCAGATGAGAGTGTGTTCTGGGCCAACATGGCCTGAGCCAGTGATCAGGAGTGTTGAGTAGTGCACTCCCTGCTGAAAGGGGTAGGCCTGTGCTAGTCTCTGCTGGCTTTCCCAGGGAAACTGGGGAGGGGTTCTCTACCTCTCTGTGCTATTGAAAATCTGAAGGTTAACAAAGGGCTAAGATGCACATAGTCAAAATAAAGGAGGAATATTGATTTAATTCATATTTATGTAAGGAAAAATAAAGAAGGGTCTCTTCTTCCCCTTCTCCCTCTCCCCTCACCCCAGATATATGAAATTTGTACTAAGTCATGTAATGTGTCCTGAGCTTGCCAGGTAATTTGCTGGAGACCCTGGAGGAGCGCTCTTATTTCCTGCCCCTTAGTTAAGTTTTGGGCTAGGGTTGGTTTTAACTTTTGTGGATATTATGATGTTAATTAGAGGTGTGATACTATATTTCTGGCAAAGAAGAGCACATTTGCATAGGCTTAATTTAGCTTGGCAAGCAGTGTTTTACCTGATCTGATTGAGGTTGGGAGAAGATGGAAGGGCAGAAGGCAAAAGAGAAAGGTGTAGTTCATATTGTTAAGAATTTTTTTTTCATATACTCCGTGGTGGAAACTTATCAGGAGACCTGATGTGGTGACGTAAACAAAGCTTGTTTAGTGCAGACTTGGCTTCAACCTGTTTACTCAAGGGATTAACATCCTCCTATGCTTTCTTGATGAGTCCATTTTGAGAACCGTTTTAAGGCATGAAAACTCAAGGTTATGATCAAATTATAGAAAATGTTTGGAATTGGTCCTGATTGGAATTAATGAGAAATATATAGCTGCAGATTCTAAGCTTTAAGAACTCTTAAATATCTCTCTTCTCTGGACCATAGTACTCTCAGCACCTAAGGTACCAGAATTCTCCCAGTCTGTTTTCTGCTTTAACCCAAGTCTCTTGTAGGACTGCTGTTCTGCATTTCTTAATCCTATGACATAAGGGGACAGTGCTCTTGACACTCGGCCATAGCTGTCTTATAAGTCTTCCTCTTGGTGCTGTTTCACAAATGATGATCCACTTGGCACATGAATTTTGGAAACCTTACTTTTGTAAGAATGGAGAGAAATTTCCTACTTCTGTGTCTGGCCACATTCCATCTTTCCTGCTGGATTGGGAGATTTGATGTTAAGCATTTCTAACAGCAGCTAGGACTTTCTCACCTCTAATAATAAAAATTTAAAAAGTCTTCTGGCCATGACTGTGGTGATTTTTCCACTATTGAAATAGGACAGTTTCCAAGTAATTATACATTTAGGCTGATCTTTATTGTAGTTATGAATAGAAAATACTAATTCCAAGGAGGAACAAATAGGCTCCAAAATTCTGTATCAAGGAGACTTTTTGATAGATGTAAATAAGGAGCTAAGGAATGAATTCATTCACAGTTAAATGATGACATATCTAGACATATAACAAAATCTTTAGTAAGATTATATTCTACTACCTTTTAAAAAAGAAGGAAGAAAAATACATTCCAAGGGCCTTTTTGTCTTTTCATTTTTGTTAGTGGAGTGGCTTTAAAATAGACTGGCTGAATTTTCTTTCGTTTAATCCTGTGAAACGAACTGGTTTCTCCACAGAACACGTACACCAATGCAGACAAGCTCCTAGAGGCAGCGGAACAGCTCGCTCAGACTGGGGAGTGTGACCCAGAGGAGATCTACCAAGCTGCCCATCAGCTGGAGGACCGGATACAGGATTTTGTGAGGCGTGTGGAGCAGCGCAAGATCCTGCTGGACATGTCTGTGTCCTTTCACACCCATGTTAAAGAGGTAAAACTGCTGCTAAATTCTGGTCATAACTTCAAGCTTTAGAACCAGTGTTGTCCAGTGTTACTTTCATTGTCAGAGCCTTGTCACAGGAAGTCATGAAATTGCTATTGTATAATGAGTTTTGGGTTGTAATTCACTGTGGATTGGGGGCTGGGTTAGGGTGGCTGGTTTGTTTATGGATTTTTTCATTTATGAATTTTTTTTTTTTTTTTTAACTTTCACAAGCAGCTTCTACCTCCTTTGTTGTGCAAGTACACATGCTTGTTCAGGCACAGGGAAAGGGGGAGGGTCAGATCAGGGAACTGATACAGCAAAAAGACAACATTGCAGGGGGAGGTACTGTGTGCTTTTGGTGAGGTTTTGGTTTGGCTGGTTTTTGTTTGTTTGTTTTTCAGTCCAACCAGCTCACGAGTGCAGTTAACTGAGTTGTTAGACAGGAGGTTAGACTGGCGTGGTTCAGGAGACTGAACACATGGCAGAAGCCCAGGCCTACTTAAGGCAGCCCTGCTGTCCAGAGTGACTTAATTTTATTTCTCTTTTTTACACGTTGCATTTTGATGTTGTGTATTGGTGGTTCTTGGCAATGTAAAGACCTTGTCAGATAATGTCAGTTTGCAATTTTTACTCTCCTGCAAAGGTTGAACTGATATACCAGGAAAAAAAGAAAATTCAGCCAAACATACTGAATTTTCAGCTTTCAACCAGATCAGTTTTCTGCTTTGATTCGGAATGCAGATCATACAAACTTATAAGCTCTTGGGTGAGGGTGGAATAGGCTAGAGCAAAACTAAGAACTTCAGTAAGGGGTTTTGGTTAAAGGCAATGGCACATTTCAACAACTGTAGATTACTTGTTTTCAGTTTAGAGGTCCTGTTCAATGTTTTCACTGCTCACACTAGGTGTGGCTTCTGGATCTCACAGCATGGCAAAGTCAGTCTTCTCTTCACCCTATATTAAGAAAGATCTGGTCAGAGGAGAATTATATATAAAAGAGGGTTTTTCAGCAAAACTTTGTTAGAGGATAAGTATGGGAGTTTTTTGTATGTGAAACATCTGCTTTGCACTTGAAACAAACTCAAAAGGCCGTTGGTCTTTGAAGGAGGTCAGGATTGAATTACTTTTTAGCTCTAGACATGAGTATGTAGCTCCCCCATCAGTTTTCTGTTAGATGCTTCCTTGCGGATATTCTTCCAGAACTGCTTGTTTAAACAAAATGTAAGTGCTCTGTTGTAAACTGTTCTTAGGGGGAAACTTTTTTTGTTTTGCTTTTCCCAAGCACATAGTGCTGTTCCATTACCTGTTGTGAAGCACAGAAGCAGTCAGCTGCCAGAACTTGTTCATTGTTTCTACAGGGTTTTTTACTACCTGTTTTTCTTAGCACCAAGAAGAGCAGCTGGAATGGTATTTAAATGGATACGGTTTGTTGTAGTGATGAAAGACAGAGACTGTCAAAAGATTTGCAAGGAAAGGGCTTTAAAAAATTCAAAAAAACCTGAAAGGCAGACTGATATGTGAATCACTGGTGAGTAATTTTGGGAGACTGATCCAGATGTGCTGGAATATTGCCACTGCTCCCTTAGATAATGCTTTATTTGAAAAAAAAAAAGATCTTTTGTATCTTGATTTATTTCTTTGGGAAAATGGATGTTATTCTGACCCTGTAAGTGCACACAGCTGTTACTGTGGCAGATTGTCTGCAGCCTGGACTTTGGGGGAAAGGTACTGTGGCTGATGGACACGTTTGTTTTGGTTTGGGTTTTTGATGGGGTTTTTTTGGTGTGGTTTTTTTGTTTGTTTGTTTGTTTTTGTTTGTTTTGGTTTTTTTTTACTTAAAAAGCAAGGAAAATTAAAAAGAGCACTTATTTGTGTAAGTAAGAGTATAGTTTCCTTTATTTGCATTCTACTTACACAATACAGATGAGACAGTGAGGCAGGTGGTGCACCTTTGGTGAGGGTGCAAAGAAATGACAAGCTCAGAGCTGTCCTGTGCTTTCTGTATTCTGCCTCGTTTTCAAGATGTTGTTTGTTAACAAACACACGTGCTGAGAAGACATCACAAAGCAGATGGAAGATAAAAATGCCCTAAACCTGAAAGTCATCCGTGATTTGTTGGCAGAAGAATTGCATTTCTCCTGCAGGATGTGGGAAGTCACTGAATAAATTAGTGCATACCTGTAAGCACGTAACCTTTCTTATGGCTGAGTGAAGAAATTAATGTACACACTGAGGTAGTGAAGAGAGGAGTTCAAGTAGTAGGATAACACACTAGTTGTTGAACGGGAAAGAGATGGCTTCAGTTGTTAAAAAAAAAATAAAAAGCCCAAACAAATCAAAACAAAACACCGCCAACGCATTTTGCTCTCCAAGTATTCAGGGTGAATGTTCTTGTATCTTTTTTATGTTTTCCTAGTCTAAAAAGTAGGCATGAAGAATACAAACCCTGCTTGTGTGCGATAGTTTTGGAGGGAGCTACAGAGCTGAGAAGAGCTGGTAATCCGCATTGTTGGCTGTTTTGAGACTTTGAAATCTGGCTCCAATACCCATTTAATATTTTTTTTTTTTTTTAAGTAGAATGTTGTGTTGTGTTTTATTCTTTTCCCCAGAAATACTTCATGTTGAATGAGTGCTCCCCATCTGGGTGAGAGCATTCCAATACTACTTCTCCCCTGTACATAACCTTTATACCTGATACAGAATCTGCCTGCAGCTTTTGGCAGCTTCCCTGGGAAGCGCCAGCCGTGCGGTCTCCGCGCAGCACCGTTCCTTCTGTCACGCTTAGCAAACCAGCACAGTTTCTGCTTTCAGAAGCAGTGTGCTTGCCACAGAAGCAATAGACTGGTTCAGTGCATCCTGGAACTAACAGGCTTTTGCTATACCTATGCACAGAGCAGCTGTGTAGTATATGTTCAGCAGCCTCTTAGAATGCACGTTGGAAATGCTGACTGTCTTTAACATTTCTAGAAGTTCTGTAGCCAGGTGGTTACAAGTTGGTAGGGCTCCTTGTGGCTTGCAAACATCAGAAAACAGCATATAAGTTCTCAGACTTCTCACAGACTAATCTCAATAGACCACATTTCACACTGTGGGGAAAAAAGGATGCATTCAGGGAAGCCAGAAATATGATGTTATTTAGTAGTATTGCCATTACTCTTTTTGCTTAGTGGTGATCCAAGAAAATCAGTTGCTTACTATATGTAACTTGTGATTTCAGACTCTTACCTTATTGCTAGTTGTAAGTTTGTAAGGTTGTGAATACTGATTTTTAGCATCCATGCAAACAGTGAGAAATTTCAATCTATAAGCCTATATCTAATCTATAATAACTGAAGTTGAGCTGTGCACTGGTGAGCTTTAAAATCATTTGGGACCATAGATATCCCTGTCAGCATCTTTGAATTAAGCGTACTGTGTCCTGGCAGGTTCCCAGCCTGAGGATGGATAAAATGCAACTGAACATCTGAAACTGTTGGCCATTGCAAGAGAGTGAATTTCTTAGGGCTTTTATGTCTTTTGACATTTGATAATATGAGGAGGGACAAGGTGAGAAAAAAATTGTACACATAAAAGATACGCTTCCTAAATGAACAGTTATCATAAAAGGTTGTGTACAGAACACGGGAGCAGGAGTCACGATAAACTTTGCTGTGAAATCTGTCACCAACTAGAGATGAACAGGATTTTGGTGTGAATTCAAACTCTTGAATCTGTGTGCACATGCATCCAGACACACACACGATCTCTCCGAAATGGCTCCCTCAGCATCTATGAGTGGGAAGACTGAAATCCTGGCCAAGCCAGGTGTTCGCAGTAGTGCCAAAGTAGAGCAACAGATCTCTTCCTCACTGGAGTCAGCTGTGGGAATACAGATCAGGCTGACTGTATGTGGAAGAGAAGGATCTCTCAAGAGCATGTTGGCTTTTTGCATATAACCTTTTGTGTGTATTCTGACAGGTTGATTATAAAATAGCTCGGAGCACTTTTTATGTATCACAATACACTTACGGTGTTAGTAGAAGATACCTCTTTTTTTTTTTTCTTTTTTTTTCTTTCTTACTCAAACCAGACTTTGCACCAGAATAGACTGAGGTTGAAACAAAGAAAAGGGAAGTGGAATTGCCTAAGATTCCAAATACAAAACCTCTCTGTTCCTGAACAACAGTAATGAACCATTAGTCTGTGCGAGCCCTTGAAGGTGGCGTTGTTCTGTGGATCCTAGGGCAGGAGGCCTTGTTCTGACCATAATGCTGCCAGTTCATTCACATCTAGCTGTGAGGCATGTGCACTTGATTCAACAAATTTTGTTGATAATGGTCTCACTTTGTCTTATAGCTCACTGCCAGAAATATACCCTCCTTTACATTATCCAGTATGGAAGGGTATCCATCCACAGAGCCTATAATTCATTTCATCCCAGGGGGGACCCTGAGGTGACAGACCAGCTCTTCTGGTTGCTTGTCACCCCTTGCTATTTGAGTCTTCTGTGTTGGTGGACTACAGGTTAAATTTGGATGTTGTAATACGGCTGCTCTCTCCTCTGTGTGCCCTTTCCAGGGAGCAGAGCAGCTTTTGGATGGCCCCAACTAAGTGTGAAGACTTTCTCCCTGGGGCTTTTGTGCATCTCTGATTAATTTTTATCATGTCATTATAGCACAGGTATGGTCAATGTGACAAATCTAGCAGAATATATGAAGTGTAGTCTCTGGTCAGTACTTTCATATGCTGGTCATCATGAATCTGAGAGTTGAGGATACTTTTTAGTTCTGAAATAAGAGAAGCACATTTAGTGGCATCACACTGAAGTGTGTTGTAGTTTGCTGGTTTGGTAGGAATGGAAACCAGTTACCCAGATTTCATCTCAGAGTTTTTCAATACTGGTAGCTACTTTGCTTGGAAAAAGGGATTAAATTTCAGTCCAATCATTGAAATAGCACCAAGAGCTTGAGAGAAGCAAGGCAGAAATAGGTATTTAAACTGTGTACAGCTATGTTATAGACTTGGTTTCCTGTTCAGTTAAGAAATGGGATGGATGTTAACAGGGTACTTAGTAGTAGTTGCTGTAATTTTAGGAGGATGTGAGAAACTTGGTTTTTCTTCAGTGTTGAATTTATTCTGAATAAGAAATTGATTCCATTATAACTGTAGAATAGATAGGGATATTTGAAGCTTTTAAAGATAATTATAGCTAATTAAAAAAAAAATGCATGCATTTAATATCTTAAATGTCACTGAAAGACAAGGAGGTTTAACATCTTACAAGTTTTGTTTATAAAAAGATGCAGTTTTTGTCAACTGCATGTCCTGAAAGCCAGAGCTTACAGGCGGACAGAGGCACCCATCAGCCTCTTTTTATGCCAGATACTCTTGTTAGGGAATCCTATTGCAAGATTCGGTACTGTGCAAATAACATCTCCTTCAACAACTGTGCCTGTGGTAATGCACCTACTGCAACATTGTGCTGGGGGGCAGGAGCAGAAAGAGGAACTGACCGTTTTTACACCCAGAAACTGTGTGCCATTCTTTGTCTTGGCTTGCTGAAAAGGCCGACTGCATATCCAAAAGCCATTAATATGAAAATGAAAAAA